AGAGAGGAGGAAGCAGGCTCCCTGCTGAGCGGAGAGCCCGATGCGGGGCTCGATCCCAGGACTCTGAGATCATGACCTGAGCCGAAGGCAGCGGCTTAACCCACTGAGCCACCCAGGCGCCCCGAGCAGAATAATTTTAATTGAATTTTTTATTGAGATAATTGTAGATTCACATATAGTTGTAAGAAATAATACATAGAGATTTGGGGGCACCTGGCTGGCTCAGCTGGTAGAGCATGCAGCTCTTGGTCTTGGGATCATGAGTTTGAGCCTCATGTTGGGTGTAGAGATTACTTAAATATATAAACTTAAGGGAAAAAAAAAAAGAATACATAGGACTTCTTGTGTACTTTATCCATTTTCTACCTAGTCTAAAAACCCTTTGCATAGATCCCAAAAATTTTCTCCTGTATTTTTTCCTAAAAGTTTATAGTTTTGCATTTTACGTTTAAATTTATTATCTATTTTGAGTTAATTTTTGATTATAGTGTGAGATATAGATTAAAATTCATTCTTCAGTGGAGTATTTTTTTTTAAGATTTTATTTATTTATTTGACAGTGAGATAGAGAGAGCACAAGCAGGTAGAGTGGCAGGCAGAGGGGGAGGGAGAAGCTGGCTCCTCACTGAACAAGGAGCCCGATGCAGGACTTGATGCGGGCCTCAATCCCAGGACCCTAGGATTATGACCTGAGCTGAAGGCAGATGCCCAACCGACTGAGACACCCAGGTGTACCATAAGTGGAGTATTTCAAAATAAATCCCAGATAACAAGATATTTCATCATTTCAATAAAGTTGTCTCTTAAGACCGTTATCATTACTGATGAAATTGACAAAAACTCTTTAATATTTTGTAATAGTCTACATTCGGATTTTCCTCATTGCTCATAAAAAGTCTTTTTGTAATTGTGTTGAGTCTGAATCTAAAGTCCGTGTACTATGCTTAACCCTTAGGTATCTGTTTCATTCTTGAACAGCATCTCCTCTTTTTTCATGGCTTTGACTTCTTGAAGAGACTAGGTTAATTGTTCAGTGGAGTGTGCCACTTTCTAGATTCCTCTGATTGTTTCCTTGCCCTCAGAGATGCTACTATTTGGAGAGACAAGTATAATAATAAATAATAATTTTTTAAAATTTTAAAACAAATTTTTTAATTACATAAATAATTATAAATGTGCTGACTGAAGAACAGAATGGGTTGTTATTTAAAGAATAACATAGAAGGACTCCTTGAGGTGAAATTGGAATTGAGACTTGAAATAGGAAGAGAAGCATTCCAGGCAGAGGGAGTATTACATGTGAAAGTTCAGAAGAGGGAAACAGAATTGTAATTGGAAAAAGTCTTCAAAGAAGGTAATGTGGTTGGAGTTTGGTGAATAACAAGGACATACCATTGGAGAAGTAGGCAGGAGCTAGATCATGCCCAACTTTATAGCCAAGACTAAAGAGTTTAAAAAGATTTTCTAATTGCAGAGGAGTGCTGTGGAAGAATATTCAAATGTAGAGTAATCTGGCCCTACTGATGTTTTTAAATGCTCACCCTGGCAGCCTTGTAAAGACTGATTAGCAATACAGGATGGGGATGAGAGAATGGAAAGGGGGGAACAAATGTAGAAAGTGGAAAACCTATTAGGCTATGCAGTCATGTATAGTCCAGGCAAGAAATGATGGCTCCTTGTATTAGAGTGTTGATGGGGAGCTGGATAACTTTTGTAGGTAAAATGGACAAAAACAAGGTAATTGATTGGAAATGGATGGTGTGAGAGGAGGGGCTATAAAGGATAACCCAGTTTTTGGCTTGAACAGTGGAATGGATGGTGACTCATTTTCTCAGATGATTTCTGCCTGCCAGTTTGTTTTTTTTTTTTTTAAAGATTTTATTTATTTATTTGACAGAGATCACAAGTAGACAGAGAGGCAGGCAGAGAGAGAGAGGAGGAAGCAGGCTCCCTGCCGAGCAGAGAGCCCGATGCGGGGGCTCGATCCCAGGATGCTAGGATCATGACCTGAGCCAAAGGCAGAGGCTTTAACCCACTGAGCCACCCAGGTGCCCCCTCTGCCTGCCAGTTTTATAGAGACCATCAAAAGGCCTGAGCAGTGGAAATGTAATCAAGGCAAAAGGACTCACAGTGACTCCCAACCCCCTGGCTGAAATCAGGCAGGCCCATCAAGCAACCCATCTCAAAATATCCATAGGCCATAACTAATCAATGGGCTACTTACAACTAGGCACAGTTACCAAAAAAAGGGAAAATTCCATACATCCCCATATCTCCTCACCTTCTCCCTTTATTTATTTATTGTTCTTATATTTGAGAGAGAGAGAGAAAGAAAGCTCAAGCAGGGGGGAGGGCCAGAGGGAGAGAATCTCCAGCAGACTCTGTGCTGACCATGGAGACTGAGGTAGGGCTCAAACCCACCACCCTAAGATCATGGCCTGAGCTGAAATCAAGAATTGGATGCTTAACCGACTGAGCCATCCAGGCATGTTTTTCTGTATTCGTAGATTCTATTTGTAATTATCTTGTTTAGAATTTTGGTATCAGTTTTCCTTTTTTTGTGTGTTTTTTTTTTTGTTGTTGTTGTTGTTGTTGTTTTTGTTTTATTTTTTGACATGAGATTTCCTAAGTGAAAAATCATTAATACTTTTCTTTATTTAGAAAATGTTTTATTTGCCAGATTTTAACATTGTTACATAACTTTCCAAAACAGAGTTAAGAACGTTTCCATTTTGATCTGTACCATGGAATAATTTTTTTTAAGATTTTTTAAAGATATATTTATTTATTTGTCAGAGAGTGAGAAAGGGAGCACACAAGCAGGGGGTGGGAGCAGGCGGAGGGAAAAACAGGCTCCCCACTGAGCCAAGAGCCCTTTGTGGGACTCAATCCCAAGTTGAACTGACTGAGCCACCTAGGCGTCCCATGCATGGAATAATGTAAATAACATAGGAGTTACCCATAACAGAAGATCAGGAAAAATTCATCCATGAACTTCCTAGGCATGAGACTTGTTTTTGAAAGTATTCCATGTTTGTTAGAGAGACTGTGTTTTCTATATTTTCTTGAGTCTACATGGGCAGTTTTTAATTTTTCTAGTTTGTCATCCTTTTCACTCACATTTTCACATTGATTAACTTAGGGTTATAATTTTTAAGTTCCTGGTTTTTCACAGTTGTATATAATTTTTTACACTTTGCCCCTTTTGGCTAGATTAACTGAGACATCTCTTCATTATTACTTAAACTGTCTCTTGGCATCACTTATCAATTTTATTGTTTTTTCCATAATGATTAATTTCTGCTTTTTCCTTATTTCACCTTGTAAGCTTAGTTTAAATACTTTTATTCCTTTTTGAGCTTCTTGAATTCATACTTAATTTTTTATTTGATTTTATAAAATGAGATTATGAATTTTCTTGTGAGAATAATTTTACCCACATACAAAAGACTTTGATATTAGGATTTTTATTATAAACATTTTCTAGGGGCTCCCGGGTGGCTCAATCGGTTTAGAGTCTGCCTTCAACTCAGGTTATGATCCCTGGGTCCTGGGACACAGCCCCACATTAGGCTCCCTGCTCAGTGGGGAGTCTGCTTCTCCCTCTCCCTCTGTTCCTCCCCCGTGTTTGTGCTCTCTCTGTCTCTCTCAAATAAATAAAAAATCTTTAATAAACAAACATTTTCTAGATACTCTGTGTTGGAAGTTTTAATTCGTAATCCCTGTAGGTTATAAAGTTCAACATGAGTCTCTTAGATGAAAGTGGGAATGTTGAGGGAGAGTTGTTGATTTTAGAGAGGATGATTAGGGAAAGGCCTATCAGGTAAATTGATAGACTATAGTGAAGTGAGGGAACGGTAAGAGCAAAAGCCTTGATAAGTTGTCTTAAGTTTTATTTAATTGGAAGATGTAATCTCAGGTCTAGTTCTGTATTTAACCTATTCTGTATTTCCACTTCAATGATACTAATTCAGAGCCCACCTGTTTGCATAATTAGTACTAATATCACACTTGGATACAAGGCAATCATAAACACAAATACTTGTATCAAAATATTTAGACTACCAGTGTAATACAGAATTTAACTTCTCGTCTATTACTCTTGAACCCCTGAGAATATGGGCATGTTTCCACAGAAGTCCCAGTTTGAGAACTAGTATCCTTATACATTATTCTTTAGACATTTTCCTACTTCATTCCCAAGGGAAGGGATAGAGGGAGGAACAATAGTGATTCGTCTTGTTGTATTCATGTTTGATTAGAGTTTTTGTTGATCAGTAACTGGAGTGAAGGCATTTGGTCTTTCCCTTGGCTGCTTATAGCCCCCGAGCATTGTCCCTCCAGATTGTGAAATACATGGGAGAGCTTTCAGAATTTTATCTACTTAATTTTCCATACTATTTATGCTATCAGTACTCGTATTGCCCATTCTCTAAGTAATCCATATGGATTTCCAGCATTTTCTTTCATTTTGGTTAAAATTGCTCTGTATCTAGTTAGTACTTCTTCAGGTGTATTGCTTGAGTTTAGGACATTCGTGTAGTTTCAGCATTGGTGGTATATTCTTCCAATTTCCAGCTATTTTTCCTCTTTGGTTTGTGTTTAGAGAATGGACTTCTAGTAATCCTGCACCTATGCAGCTGTTTTCTTAGAAATCTACTTTTCTCAGTTTTGGGGCGCCTGGGTGGCTCAGTCATTAAGTGTCTGCATTCAGCTCGGGTCATGATCCCAGAGTCCTGGGATCAAGCCCCACATCAGGCTCCCTGCTTGGCAGGAGGCCTGCTTCTCCCTCTTCACTCCCCCTGCTTGTATTCCCTCTCTGTCTCTCTCTCTGTCAAATAAATAAATAAAATCTTTAAAAAAAAAAAAAAAGAAATCTGCTTTTCTCAGTTTTACTGAATGGTTAAGGAAAAGTCTTTTCCTCTAAGTCATGTGTTGCGATAATTTCATTTTAATGTTAAAACTGACAATTAATTATGTTTTTTAAAATTGTTTGACAGGTTGGAATCCGAGGTACTGATATAGTTGTGCTTGGAGTTGAAAAAAAATCTGTTGCCAAGCTTCAAGATGAAAGAACTGTAAGGAAAATTTGTGCCCTTGATGACCATGTTTGCATGGCTTTTGCAGGTACTTATAGAACTACAGTAATAATACAGAGTATCATAATGTAGTAGGGTAACACAGTTGGCCCCTCCTACAGTCATCCTGCTACACTTACGTAACACATGGAGATATGCTCCATTTCTTTTTTTTTTTTTTTTAAGATTCTATTTATTTATTTGACAGAGAGAGATCACAAGTAGGCAGAGCGGCAGGCAGAGAGAGAGCAGGGGAAGCAGTCTCCCCACTGAGTAGAGAGCCTGATGTGGGGCTCTATCCCAGGACCCTGAGATCATGACCTGAGCCGAAGGCAGAGGCCCAACCCACTAACCCACCCAGGTGCCCCCATTTCTTAACACAAACAGTATATCATATCTTTTCTGGAAGATCACATCTATATAAACATGGATTTCGATAATTAGTTTTGATAAAGCAGTAATGTTAAAAGATATATACAGTACCTTAATTATAACTTCAGGTAGTTGCGTTTTCTTTTTAAACTCTTTATTTTGAAACAATTATAGGTACTCAGAAAGTTAAAAAAATGGGGTGGGGGGCACCCGGGTGGCACATTGGGTTGAGCATCCGACTCTTGGGTTTCCGGGTCATGGTCTCTGGATCGTGGGATCAAGCCCTGAGTTTGGGCTCTGCACTGAGTGCAGAGCCTGCTTGAGATTCTTTCTCCCTCTACCCCTCCCGCTTGTGCACTCGCTCTCTCTCACTAGCTCTCTCTTTCTGAAATAATTTTTCAAAACAAAACAAAACACAGGGAAGTATCCTTTATACTGCGTTTCCCCCAATGGTAACATCTTCAAAAACCAGTAAAATGACATTGTTACAAGCCACAGAGTTTATTCAGATTTAAACAGTTTTATATGCATTTATTTGCATGTGTACATGTGTGTGTAGTTTTATTAGACTTATCACATGTGTAAGTTCATCTAACCATCACCACAATCAAGATACACAACTCTTGCCTCAACCCGAGACTATCTCATGCTATTCCTCCTCATCTCTAACCTCTCGTAGCCACTAATCCATTCTCTTCTCCATCTCTGTAATTTTGTCATTTTGAGAATGTTTAGTGAATAGCATCCTGTGATACATATATAACCTTTTCATCTTAGCTTTTCTTGTTCAACATAATTCCCTTGACATTCATCCAAGTTGTTGCATATATTAATAGTCACTTGCTTTTTATTGCTGAGTAGTGTTCCATGATATGGATGTGCCACGCTTTTGTTAACAACTCACTGGCTGAAGGACATGGATTATTTCTAGTTTTCGCCCATTACAAATAGAGCTGGTGCGAACATTTGTGTACAAGTTTTTGTGTGAACATAGGTTTTCCCTTTTTTGCAATAAATGCTGAAGAGTACAGCTGCTGGGTCATATGATCATATGATAATGCATGCTTAGTTTTATAAAAAGCTGGCAAATTGTTTTCTAGAGTGCCTGAACTATTTGCATTCCTACTAGCAGTGTATAAATGATTCATTTTCTCTACTCCTCAACAACCTTTGGTGGTGTTACTGTTTTTAATTTTAGACATTCTTGTAAGTGGATAGTGCAATCTCATTGTGGGTTTAATTTGCATTTGACTCATGGGTAATGATGTGGAATAGATTTTCATGTGCTTATTTGTTTTTGTATTTTAGCAAACAAGGCATGTTTCTTGTCGCGTGTGCGTGCACATGCATCCATTTTCCTTTTTTTCCGCCTGAAATAAGACTTCAGTGTACACAAAGAAAGCTAACATTAGTGACAGAGAAAGGAAGAAGGGTGGGGAGCCCAGGCAGCCCAGGGAAACGGGAGTATGGAGACAAAGGCCTTATGGCAAAGGAGACACCTGGGAGAGAAGGAGAGCTGAGGGTGGGCCAGGCAGGGAGAGGCCCCATTCTTGCCTGGTGTGGGTCCAGGGCAATGTCAAGGCAGGCTCTTGCTTCATCACATTGGTCCTCTTCTGGCCTCTGTTCTATGCTCCCTTCTGTTCCCTGAGCCCTTTTCGCTTCCCACCAGAGCCAAGAGCCTGAGGCCGGCCCTACCTTGCAATTTTAGTTTTTCCAGGGCCTCCTTTAGTCTTTCTACTCTTTAACAGGGCTTGGGGCTGGCACTGGGCCAGCAGCTCCTGCCAGCAGATATAGGTATGAGCAACATGGCCTGGGGCTCTCCTGGATATGGGTGCTAATATGGAGGCCCAACTGCATGCATAGCAAGCTGCTGTTCTCCCCATCGGTCTGGGATGGGGAGTCCTGGCAGCTGACCACCACCCTAGGCAGTATCAGAAGCTGTGGCACAGGTAACAGACCTTGTGATCTAGCTCAGCACTGGCTTTTGACTCTTGCTCCTGGTAAGGTGGCAAGGTCTCAGATCCCAGGTACTACCAGAGGGATTATGGCCTCATGAGGCTCAGGACCTAGCTGAGCAAAGACAGCTGGGCCTTCTCTTGCCAGACAGGGAATGTCTCTTGCTAGTCCAGGATCTGGGCAAAGACCACAAGGCTAAGCTGGCTTCAAAGCTGTCTGCTCCAGAAGGTCACGTCCAGGAAGAACTTCATGAGTGCCAGCAGTGTAATGGTGATCTGACACCTTGCTCAGGGTACATCACAGCTGCTGGAGCTTCCCTGGCCACTCCTGGATGTTCTTGAAGAGTAGGAGCAGAAACTGCTGGAGATTGGTCTTGTGTGGCAGGCAGAGTTGCCCCCCCCCCACCGCAACCAGCTCAGGACAGCAGCTCAGTTTGGCCCAAGAGGTCCCCATCAGTGGAGGCCCCTGGCTGTGCAAGGGTACTCGGTGTCAGGAACTTAATAGAGATAACTCAGGCTAATGTCTAAGGCAGTCTCCAGGGGGCTGTTCTGTTGCTCACTCCAGCTCAGGCTAGTGTCATTTTTAAACACTCTTCCACCATGCTGACAGGGCCCCTGCAGTCCCAGAGCAGGACTGTGGCCTCCCAGGCTGTGAAATGCCTCCATGACCTCTTGCAGTGAGGGGCACCACCAGTGCTTATCTCCATCAAACTGATGGAAGAGCCTATCCATACTAAAATCCCATAGGAAGCCAAAAGCTCCTGAAGAAGTTTCTGGAGGCCACATCAGCCGCTGGAAGAGCCACTGGAGCAGAGGCACCAGGCAGTCAAGGGTGCACAGGTAGAGGTTGTTCATGAGGCCACTGTGCAGGAAGGACAGCTGCTAGGCCACTGGGCATCTGAAGAACAGCCCCTTCAAGTAGCTATGTGGCTTCAGGTGTGAACAAACCAGAATGCAATGCAGGAGGTGACACCTGGGTAAAAACACTGTTTCACTGGGATGTACTGATAGGATAAGGCTTTCAGGCAATAGTAGGCTATCAGTAGTTAAGTTTTTGAGGAGTCAAAGTTATATGCAGACTTCAGTTGGGGGAAAAGATTGGCATCCCAACCCTTGTGTTGTTTGAGGATCAACTATACTCCTAAAAAACCCATGGGTCAAAGAAGACATCAAAAGAGAGGCACCTGGGTGGCTCAGTTGATTAAGCATCTGCCTTTGGTTCAGGTCATGAACCCAGAATCCTGGGGTTCCCTGCTCAAAAAGAAGCCTGCTTCTCCTTCTCCCTCTGCTGCTCCCACTGCTTGTGCTCTCTCTCCCTCTGTCACATAAATAAATAAAATCTAAAAACAAAGACATCAGGAGAGAAATTAGAAAATATCTTGAGACATGAAAATGAAAACAACATATCAAACTTATGGAATGCAGCAAAAGCAGTGCTAAAAGGAAAATTTGAAGCCATAGCTGCTTAATTTTAAAAAAAGAAGAAAAATTTCAATTAACTAGCCTAACATACCCTAAGAACTAGAAAAAGAAGACCAAACTAAACCTAAGGCTAGCACAAGGAAGGAAATAATAAAGATTAGAGATACAGAAAATAGGAGAACAAAAAACATAAATCAGTAAGACCAATAGTTTTGTTCTTTGAAAAGATCAACAGTATTGGCAAACCAATTGGCAAACCAATTGTTGCCTAAGAACAAAAGAAGATTCAACTAAAAGCAAAAATGAAAAAGGAGACATTATACTAATGATTTTACAGAAATAAAAAGGATCATCAGAGGTACTATGGACAGTCATAAACCAACAAATGAGAAGAAATTGACACATTTCTTGAAACATACAAATTACCTGGTTACTCAAGAAGAAGTGTGTGTGTGTGTGTGTGTGTGTGTGTGTGTGTGTGTGTATCTCAACAGATGTATAATATAATAAGTAAAGAGTGAATCAGTAATCAAAAACCTCCCAATAAAAAAACTCCATGACTCTCTGGTGAATTCTACCAAATATTGAAAGAAGAATTAATACCAACTCTCAAACTCTTCAGTAAATTGAAGAAGGAATGCTTCCAAACTCATTCTATGAGACCGGCATTACCATGATACCAAAACCAAAGACACTACAAGAAAAGAAAACTACAGACCAATATCCCTTATAAATATTGATGTAAAAATCCTCACAAAAATACTAGCAAACCAAATACAGCATATTAAAGGAGTTATATACCATGACCAAGTGGGTTTATTTCTGGAGTACAAAGATAATTCAACACATGAAAATCAATATAACTATATCACATTAACAAAATGAAGGACAAAAGTACATGATCATCTCAATTGATTCAGAAAAAGAATTTAACAACATTAAATACCCTTTCATGATGAAAACAATAAACTAGGAATAGAAGGAAAAGATCTCCATATAATAAAAGTCATTTATGAAAAACTCACAAAGAACATCATAGTTACAAAGGACTCAAGGCTTTTCATCTAAGATCAGGAATTAGCCAAGAATGCCTACTTTTGCCATTTCTATTTAACTTAATAGTGAAAGTCCTACCCTGAGCAATTAGGCAAGAAAGAAAAGGCATCCAAATTGGAAGGGAAGAAATAAAACTGCTCTGTTTACAAATTACATGATCTTGCATATAGAAAACCCAAAAGAGTCCACAAAAAAGGGGCAACTGGGTGGCTCAATCATTAGGTGTTTGGGTTCAGCTCAGATC